CGTAGTCGGGTTTGGTCTTTCTAAAAGAAAAGCAACTTAGAATCTAGCATCTTTTTGCCTTCCCTGTCCCTTTAAGCTTTGAATTTGCTGCGTTCCGTCAAGCTACGACGACTGGAACGTGTCATCGCGTCGTGGTTGCGTCGCGTGTCCTTTGCAAGCGCGGAACTCAGAGGGCAGAATCTAGGCATCCCGCCTGAGGACATCTTCAGGAACTTTCGCTGTTACCCTCCCTTTAAAAGCTCCAAAATTTGGCAGGGCGAAAGCGGAAGGCGTACTAAGAACTCCAAATTCCGCTCCGCCACCCCCTGACAGTCGAAAGTACGTCTGGTTTCTGAGGTACGAATCTCAAATATTTTCAGCGTAAAGGCCTATTCAGTCGAAATGGGCATTTCTCACCAATTTTTCTTACGCCGGCCCGTACATTGTATTGCGGGAGGATTAGCATTGTTCACGAGTTGTAAGGGGCGGGCTATTGTCCTTTTGTATCAGACATTATGTCCTTTTTGGTGGGTTTTTGTGAATGTGGGATTACGGTGAAAAGGGTGCACATCATCAGTCGCCACATCCGGCCAGCAGGGACCAGTCGGATTTAGGGGGAATTTGGGGTATTTCGTTAATGCGATGATACATGGCGAGGTAAGTGATGTTATATTAGAGGCTTTTGAATTACGAATTTCTTCTTGAATTTTTTTGAATTTTCTATGTGTATTTTGGAACATAAAGTAAAAAAATTACACATTTTGGTGCCTATCTGCGTTGCGTGTGGCGTCGCGGCAAAATTCATAGCGAATTTCAAGCCTTACCCGTCCCTTTAAAGGGGCTCCGAAATCTGGTCCACGGCCCACTGCGTTGATTCCTGCCAAATAGCCAGAGGCGACCGCAACGCGACCGCGCCGCCCGATCTTTTGCCATGTTTGGACGTGAAAACGCTTGAGTTTCAAAATTCTGAAGCTATTTCTGCAATCGTCAGCGAATTTTTATCATTCTAGACTTTTTAAATAGGAAAAATTGATAAGAGAATCGCGTGGAGGTCGAGAGATTGGGTGCCTTACAAGGCATTACGACATGTATTCCAAAATGTCGTTTTCGCCCTGATAACTTTTCGGTTTTACTCAAATACCAGGGTTGAAAAGCCGCTTCGCGACTTTTCAACCCTGGGCCCGCCTAGAAGGAATGATATTTTTTGCAACGAATTAATTTTTCTGGTATTTCTCGGCAGTAAACCTTTGACTTCCGAGCCCCTTTAAAGTACGGCTTGTGTTTGGCTTAAGCTTCGGCTTAAGCTTAGGCTTAGTCTTAGGCTTATGGTGAGGAATCCTAGGATCTCGATCAAAAACCACTGAAATTTTTGCAACCCACTTCCTGACATCAAAACTCACGGGCTACGTAAGAATACGCATGTACGCTTCCAAAAATGTCATGCCATATTTACCCAATCATCACCACCTTCCCCAGCCACCTTCACTTTCCCACCCTATTGCGTCGTCCAGGGCGTCTCGTTTCGTTTCCAGTGTTTCTAGCGCTCCGGGACCAGTTTCAAATTCAAATTTGCGATTCCGCTGCTCGGGGCGGGGCCCCCTGGGCGGCCGGCATCATTTTCCGATGAATACCGGAGAGGACACCGGCAGGGAGCCGCTAGCTGCCCCATATGACTCGCCGCTTGTCACGTTGGGTCCGAAATATTTTGGAGGACTGGTTGACTTCAATGGTCGGCGGCTTCCAAAATACCGACGGTAGGATCCCGATAGCCAAAATCCCGACAAATGAGAATCTTGAAGGCGAAAATACCGATGTCCTTGATGCTGATTAAATGCCCCTTCGTTTACACAGCTATTTTGCATGTCCGGAGGTCTGCTTATCGGGATTTTGGCTGTCGGTGCTGCTGGCCGTGGGTATTTTCGCCTTTCCGGGCTTTGGCTGTAGGAATTTTGGCCGTCGGTATTTTGGCTATCCGGATTTTGCTGTTTTTCTGCGGAGTACGTTGCCGTACATAGGAAAGACTCTGAATGCTAGCTTTTACCACCCATATGGAGGTTCCAAGCACCATTTCAGGTTCCGCATTGCCTCCAATGGTCCTTTAGGTTGATAGCAGAGCCTTGTCGCGCTACCGTAATCCCATGATGCGATCGCTCGTTTTACTAACTGCCAGGACAGCTTTAAACTTGCTTTCTGCAGCTAGAGATCGTCTTCGTCACTCTCAGTCACTCACCCGCACTCCCTCCTTCTCTGTCTCTCACTCGATCTCTCTCTCACTGCCTGTCACTCTCTCTCACACTCTTTCTCTCTTACTCTCTCTCTCTCTCAAGCCGGAACCAAATCTCGACCTTTTTCCCGTTCTCTACCTGATGTTGATCGTGTGGACCCTATACTACTGTCTTTCCCCAAATTTCATCCGTGCGCCATTCCGGCAAGACCGGAAACGGGTGGCACACCGGTTCCGGCTTATCCCGACCGTTACCGGAAAATTTCCGCCTCAAAAATCCGTCAAAAACAAGGAGGCCAAAATGACGATTTGAAAAAGGTTCCATTTCGAAAATCCGGGCGAGAGAGAGACAGCGAGAGAGAGACAGCGAGTGAGAGAGAGAGAGAGAGCGATAGGGAGAAAGAGAGGGAGAAAGAGAGAGACAGCCTGCCGGACCGGATGCGCTACCGGAAATTCGCATACCGACCGGTATATAAGGGATTGGCGGGCCGTGACGGGACCATATTGCTATCTATTAAATCCCTCCTCCGCTACAGTAACCCCCGCGGCACTACCGTAGCCTACCGTAACCCGCCGGGCTACGGTGGCTCGCCCGCCTTAAGGGAAGTCACGTCCCTCGGCCGGGGTGGGTTGACTTTTTAAAGGCGCGCGGGCTACCGTAGTCCATGTTTTGGATTTTCCTGTTTCTTGTTTTCGAAGTGTTTAAAGCAGACATGGCAATTCCGGGCGGCCGAGCCCCGGGGCCGGGCCTGGAATTTAATTAACATGAAAAAAACACCCGCTTCCGGGCCCCGGAAAAATATGCAAATTCGCGGGGCCGAGCCCGGGCCCGGCCGAATTTTCCCGGGGCCGGGCTCGGCCGATTCGGCTCGGCCCCGGAAACTAAAGTAGCTGATTTGCGTCTAAATTCAGATGCTGATATGCAAATTTGCAATGAAAATTTTATGTGCGTTCGGGCTGTTAGGACATCGGTATCGGTAAAATTCATTGAACTTGGTTAATAATTCGTCCCAACTATCAAAAAGTACTAAAATACATTCTGAACCCGTTATGATCCATGATCCTGTTATGACCACGTTATGATCCTGGCTGCAATAGACATGGAGATGTACGGCAACCTTTGAAAAAATAATTTTTTCCATTTTGCATGAATATTTTGATTGAAGGTGATTTACAACCGGGATTTCTGATTAGCGTGCGGCCTTGCGGCCCGGGGCTCGGCCCCCATTTTGGCTTAACCCGGGGCCGGCGAGAAAAGCCGAGCCCCGGCCCCGCCGGAAGTGGGGCCGAGCCCCGTCGGCCCGGCCGCATGCAAATTTTTGGGGCCGAAAAAGCCCCGCGGCCGGGCCCGTTGCCATGTCTGGTTTAAAGGGACCCGGCAGCCATGAACTTAATGGATACCGTAGATTTCCGGCTTCTAGCTAAAAAAATACCAACAGACGAAACGCCGACCAGCCTGAAGGTTGACAAGTCAAAATACCGACCGCTAAAAAAGCCGAAAGGCAAATTACTGATGTAACGAATATTTCATTTGCAACTGCTGGCGTGTCGGCATTGGTTTGGGCATTCTGAGATCGAAATTTTGGCTGTCGGCATTTTGGGTTGTCGTCGTCACAACTATCAAAATGGGGATGTCGGCATTTTGACGTTGCAGTTTTTTGGATGTCGGCATATTTGGGGTTTCGGGCTCTTGGCTGTCGGAATTTTGATTTTGCTGCGTCTTGGCTGTCGGAATTTTGGTTTTTGGATTTTTTGGGTTGTAGTTTTGGGTTTTCGCACTCATTAGCTCGCCGATAATTTGGAATTCATCTTTCGGCTGCCGGTATTTCCGCTTTTACGGTTTTTTAATGTCGGTATTTTAACACTTCGTCCTTCGGTTGTCGATATTTTAGCTTTTACGACCTTGACTGTCGATATTTTTGCCTGTCGGCGTTATATCTTATCTACGAGTTAAGGAGCGGGATTTTGTATGGGTTTTTCGACAAAATCAGGAAAATCACCGAATTCCAGGTCCCTTTAAAATCTCAAAAATCCACATAAAGTAGATTTTCAAGGGTCAAAAAATCTCCTAAACCTTCTGGGAAGGCTTCCTTCCCCCCGGCTCCCAAACGCGTGAACAGAATAGGAAAATTCTTGTTTTGACAAAACAAGACCCCGATCTCTCACGGGCAGGTCACAGAATCGGCTCGATCCAGTTTTAATTCTGTCTCCATTTTCCGCTACTATCCTAATCCCGGATTCAAAGAATTCTGCCGGAAGAAGCTCTTGCCCGGGCCATTAACTTTAAAGCCTCGGCCATGGCGTGGCTGCACAGATTTTTTGCCCTTTTTGGGCCCATTGTTCGATTCCGGAAATCTTTTGGCATCTTGTGAGGCTTCAAAATGAGCCCTTGGAAACTGTTTTGCAGTGTTCTCGATCTCTCTCTCCCTCTCTCTCTCTCCCCTCTCTCTCTCCCTCTCTCTCTCTCTCGCTCCCCTCTCTCCACGAATTTCTAGTTGACGCCAGATCTTGATGTTTCTTAGATCGGGCTTCTTTGCTGCTCAGAGCTTCCGGGCTTTTCGAAAACAATGTTTTTGGTGTGAAAAGATCTCAAAAACTGACGGTTTTTGGGTATAAAACGGCGAGATTTGAATAGAGTTTGATTAGGTGCAGATCGCTATCTCACCCACGCACTCGCTCTCACTCTTTCTCTCTCTCTCACTGTCTCTCGCTCTCTCTCTGTTTTCTCTTTTTTTGATGTACCAAATATACGATGATTTCTGTGTTTTTACAGATAATAATGATCTCAGCGGTGGTTATGGTCGCTTTTGCTGCCGTCGTAATTTCTGCGGACCCTCAGTCCGAGGCCTTCTGCCGACAGTTCCCCTCGTTGGCCCTATGCAAATTGCCCGCTATTCTTCAGGTAAGGACAAAGAGAGAGAGAGAGAGGGGGGGACAGAGAGAGAGGGAGTTAGAGATAGATAGAGAGAGGGTGTGTCTGAGAGAGGAAGAGAGGAAGAGAGAGATAGAGCGCGTGGGATGAATTTATTTTCACTTTTCCAGGGCTCCTACGACGAGTTGCAGTACCTGCTAGCCGGCGCTGATCAACTCCCCCAGATGTCGCAAGGACCCCAGAATGGTCAGTTTTTACGTCGGGGTTTTAACAACCTAGAAAACGGGCGAGAGAAGGAGAGAGAGAGAGTGAGTGAGTGTGAGTGTGATAGAGAGCATTCTTGCAAGTTCTGCAACATCCAGAATCAGAAATAAATCCGAGCACTTCTCTTTTTTGCCCATTTTTGCCCTTAAAAATTGATCCCTTCCTCTATCCCTTTCCTAAATTTATTCGAAGCGACCACGCGATCCCCGAGTTTTCATAGCCCAGGAAAAGCGGCGGGAGAGCCGCCGAAATTCGAAATGCAAGCGCTCGATTTCTTCTGGCGGGCCGATTTTGGGAAAGCCCCGGGACGGAGGGGTCTGTCGGGATTTTGGCTGGGATTTCGGCGTTTTCGCGGGTGTGAATAGGAATGGCATGGAAAGAAAAGAGCAAAATAACACTACGACAAGGGAAAAGCAGCGAAAAAGTGGGAGAGAGAGAGAGAGAGAGAGAGAGAGAGCGGAAGAGAGCGAGAAGGCAGAACAATATCACTTGCATATTTCCAGAGCTCCTCGCCAACACCCTGCAAAAGCGGAAGTCCGCCTTCGTCCGATTCGGCAAGCGATCCGTTGAGGAGACGGTAAGGCGTTCAACTTCCTAAACGATCCCTGCTAGCTTGCCCGGGGGTTGCCATTTTCCTAGCGGTTCTCTGCTAGCTTGCCTTGAACTTGGCTAGGTCAGCTAACGCTTCCTACGTCCCAAATGACCACCGCTAGCTTGCCAGTTCCTGGGTGTCAGTTCAGTCCATGGGCATAGGCTTAAGCTTAACTTAACCTTAGCTTAGGCTTCGACTTAGCTAAGGCTTAGGACTACACATAGGCTTCGATTTCGCATAGCTTAAGCTTGGATTAAGCGTAGCTCAGGTTAGCTTAGGCTTAGGCTTAGTTTAGGCTTAGCTTAGTCCTCACTGAAGCTTAGCTTAGACTTGGCTTATGCTTAGGCTTAGCTTAGGCTTAGCTTGGGCTTAGGCTTACCCTTAGCCTCCGGTACAATACCTAACTTTCCTATTTCAGCAAGACATGCCAGAGAAGCGCAAATCCGCTTTCGTCCGTTTCGGCCGCTCCGACCCCGAGCTCCTTTCCGCCGACATGGAGAAACGGAAGAGCAACTACGTCCGATTTGGCTAAACCGTGACCCAGCTACCGTAACCCCCGATCTCGATCCCCCGGTTTTGATCTCTATCTCGAACTTGTGCGTTATCACCCCCGGTCATCGCCGCCACCGCAGTCGCCGCCTACCGTACCCCCGCCCCGAATCGTTGTTAATTTGCATCTACCTACCGTACCCTTGGCCCCGCCCCATTTTCATTCACCCCCATCATGTCTATCCGGTCGGAATAAAGTGTGTGTTAGTAATTGTTTGGGAAAGGAGACACGGAAAGAGAGAGAGAGAGAGAGAGAGAGAGAGAGAGAGAGATGGAAATGGAGAGAGATAGAGTTACAGAGAGAGCGAGGATGAACAACGTGAGACAGAAAGAAACAGAGGAGAGAGACAGTCAGAGAGAGAGAGAGGGAGAGAGAGAGAGAGTGAAAGAGAAAGAGAGTGAGAGTGAGAGAGTGAGAGAGACACTTAGTGAGAGAGATCAAACACAGACATTTTTTTGTATCACGTCAAGCGGATTAGGTCGGAAATTTTTGGTCTGCGGTATTTCGATATTTTTAACCGGATTTTCGTAAGCAAAAAATGACAAACGCGCAAAAATACCCACCGGCAGACCGGAAACGGCCTAATGGACATGCCGGAAGTGGGCCGGATTAAGGCCGATCATGCGACACACGGTTATTTTTGCCGAGCTGACGCGTTGGATGCCGAATTTTTCACCTAAAGATCCCCAGCCCCCCCGATAATGCAAAAGAACCGTAGGCTGAGCCGAATTTGAATCGATTTGATTTCATGGCATGCATTTTTAACCCGACTATGACCAATAATTTATATATGCAAAAAAACAGTAAAAAAGACACCCATGAAAACTCCAAAAACCTTTAGATCGATCACAATTTTCGAAAAATTGTTTGATGAAACAACACAAAAACCGTTAAAAATGATAAATACCAGTATCTCGATGCGGTCATATCACAAAATGCGCCAATGAAAATAAAAAATTAATTTTAGAATGTTAAAAATGCCGGACTACTGTAGAAAAAATTTCAAATTCAACCCTGGCTGGGCGTCTGGTGTACGGTGGGGTGAGAGGCGACCGGGCGGGGCTGCGACAAGGACAGTGGCCGTTGCTAAAAATGGTACAATATACTTTTCTTCAAAAAGGAGTACTGTATCTAGGTCAAGTTTTAAAAACAACAGCAGGAAGCCTTAAAAAAAGAAAGTTAAGAATACAATTGAAAAAATGCAAAAAAAAAATGGATTTTTCTGTCTTTCACCTTGATTAAAACGATGTTAGAAAAATTCCCATAAACTACTAATGTCAAGTACAATATTACCGTAGCCTGCCTACCGTAATTGATCTCTCAAAAGACTTGAACCTACCGTATCCCCGCCTCGGGACGCCAAGACGAGGTCCAGCAGGATAGCAAGGAAGGTGGCCATTATGAGAAGACTGAAAGTAGTTATCAACCTTTTCAAACATTTATCTTTGTTTTGTTGGCGCCTACTGTAGTCTGCCTCAACGTAATTTTCGTAAAAGACCGTACGTCTATAGACGGGAATACAATCACATACATTGGAGAGTGTACTGTTGCTCATTGATGATGCTCTAACGTGCTGTACTACGTACGGTAATGTATTTGTAATAGCCAGGTTATGTCCGGTAACACCTACCACAACGCCGTGATCACAAGACTGCGTTGCGCATCGCCCATCGGGTGGAGGAGGATAATGGCCGCTGAGGCGATCACGGTAACCGGGATGTTTGTTAGGGAGCCACGACCGAGAGAAGGAGTCAATTCGGCCTGGAAAAAGTGGAGTGCAAGAGAGAAAGAGAGAGAGGGAGAGAGCGAGAGAGAGAGAGAGAGAGAGAGAGAGAGAGAGGGAGCGAGTGAGAGGGAGCAAGAACGTCAAGACCGACGGGGAAAGCGGAACCAGCAAGAGATAGAGAGAGCGAGTTGGAGATCGTGAGAGACAGAGAGAGAGAGAGAGAGAGAGCGAGAGACAGAAAAAAGAGAGAAATAGATAGCGTGGGCGAGAGAGAATGAAGTTGGATAGAGAGCCAGTGAGACGGCTAGAGGGAACGACAGCGAGGGGCATTGACATAGAGAGAGAGAGAAAGAGAGCGAGAGAGAGATGGAGAGGAGAGAGAGAGAGCAAGAGAGAGAGAGAGAGAGAGAGAGAGAGAGAGAGAGCGGCTGTGAGAGTTAACTGACCTTTAACTTTGCCAACGCCGGGCTCAACAGCCCCACCGTAGCCTCAAAAGCGCAGAACGTCAAGAGGAGCCACTGGAAGTTGGCCGTCTTCCAGTGCAACGACGACTCGGGCAGGTGTTTGTAGGTGAGGAATAGGGCTAAAAAGGTATAAGGTTTGCACAATCACACAGAGAAATTGTAATTTTTTTTAAAATCAAAGAAAACCAACCCAAAACGCTTCCCATTAGTGCTCCAGCCAGTGTCCTCGATGCTGGAATCCCCCTCGCCGGTGGCGAATGGAAAAACAGGGCTCCCACCAAGGCAAAAGCCATCAGGCACGCATAGGCGGCGCCAAAACTGTAAATATTGCCTTATAATTTGGAGGAGCTGGAAAATCCATAGCTCCTAGCCTACGCGGTCCGTTGAAAACCATAATTCGCAAGTACCGTGCCTCCCTTTTCTAACCAAAATATTCGGATGACTAGCCGAGAAACTTGGGGAATTTGAGCGGGTGAAATGGAAGAGCCAAAAAAATCCATAGTGTCCCCGCGTTCCCGGTTCCTTTAAAACCAAATTTCTTGATTACGGTACCCCAAATTTTCGCCCTCGATCGCCTTTGACTTGAGCAAAATTGGCGACCAGGCAAAGATGAAGATTTGCAGGGCCGACTCGCAGAAAACGGTGATCTAAATGCGATTTTCTAAATTGTGACCAAAGTACCGTACCACGGACAGTACGAGGGCCACCGGTTGGCGGAGGAGAATCGAGAGTTCCTTTCCAAAGGACAGAGTAGCCGGCGCGTCCACAGCAGCCGGCTTACCCCCATCCCAACGCGAGCCGATCAGGAATCCGGCTGGAAACTGGATTATAAAAGGATTACGGTGGTTTGAATATGGTGTAGGATAGGAAATTTTAAAAAAGGCGAAAATATCGTCAGCCAAAAATACCGACAACTAAAATCCTGATCGCTAAAATACCGACAGCAAAAACTCCGACCACCCAACTCTCGGCCCCGGGTCCGAAAAAATACCGACAACCACAACGTCGCACCCAAAATCCCCACTAGACAAAATACCGACATGCGGAATCCCGACAATCCCCTCAGCCAAAATACCTACAGCGAAAATTCCAACCGCTAAAATACCGACAGTCATAATCCGAAAAAAATACCGACAACGGAGGTCACTGACAGCCAAAATACCGACAGCCAACATACGACAACTAAAGTGGCGACGACGAAAATATCGACACGTAAAATAGCTGTAAAAACGAGCTGGCCTTTACATTAGCGTCACAGAAATGTCGGGATTTTATTTGACGGTATTTTGGCGGATTCGGGGTCTATTTGTCAGGGTTATCGCTGAAATTCGGGGCAAAGCCAGCGTGCAGGTCGAAAAAAATGTTAAGAAATCTCGAAAAAGTAATGGAAAACAACTAACCTGCTACCATCAGAAGTGCCGAAAAGGCAAATGGCATCCCGATGACGCCAGTGGATCCCTCGACCATCTGTGCAATCCATCCGGCCAACACTGCCCCGAGTGCGGCCCCAGATGCCACTTTTGCGAACGTGGCCTCGATCCACTCGGGTGGGAAGTCCATACGGGTGATGTGACGCTCAGCGTACCTAGCGATAAATTTAGTTCCTGACACCGTCCCTTCAAATGCACAAAAAGCTTTGCTGCACTTCCCAGAAAAGAAAAAAACAAATGTTGCTTTCACCGTTCCTTTAAAATCGATTTTTTTGCTACGCCAAAAACCTATAAATTCTTAACTTTCATAATGTCCCGTTAAAAAAGGCTGGAAGCCATTTTCCCCAAAGAATCCCTGCTAGATAGTCACAAAAACTTACCATTCCTGAAAAGCGGCCGTGACTAGAGCAGCGGAAATGCCGTCGAGGAGACGACTGACAAAGAGCAGGAGGAAGGAGCCTGAATTTAGATTTTTAGTGTTGATCGCTCTCTCTCTCTCTCTCTCTCTGTCTCACTCTTTCAATCTCTCTCGCTCTCTTTCCTTCTTTCTCTCTCTCTCGCTCTCTCTCTCTCCTTTTTCTCTCGCCTTACTCGAAAATTTCAGCAAACAGGCGACTCCGGCTGTAGATGTACAGAGCAGACACAAGCTTCTCGTCCCATACTTTCGTATCAAACGGTTAGAGAGTGAGGAGACGATCATGCAAGCAAAAAGTCCAGTCTAAAAATCTATTTTTTTTCCAGCTTCTCGTCCACAAAAATCTCTGCTAGCTTGCCAGCACAATTCTGACAATCTAAAACTCTTAGCGGTGCTCTGGTCATAGAAATAAATTCCCAAAGAACCCCTGCTAGCCTGCCATGAGAAATAACTCATTTTGAGGCCACGAACTACAAGCTACAGCGTGAATGACGGAAAACTACAAACTACAAAAGCTCACCGAGTGCAGGGCGGCAATTTGCGACGGGATAAACCGGTAGCTGTGGTAGAGGACGTAGAGGAATGGGGCCTAAAATTACGGTATTTTGATCAAAACACTGTCTTTTCAATGCTTTTTGATGTGTTAACTCACTTGTAAACTCTCCGCGAGCAACACAATTAAATACGGTGGGATAAAAAGCCGCTGCAACCCGCGGAATTCATGGTTATTTTGTGCGTTGTCTCTGAAAATTTTTCTTACTTTTTTAATTTTTCGACATTTTCCGAAATCTTACATAAAATATCCGAGCTCTCTGAAAGTTTTCCGTGAAAAGAAGGTTTCAAGGGATGTTTTAGGCTCACGACAGCATTAACGGCTATTTTCATTTTGTGGAAATATCGGGTTGTCGAAAAAGCATTTTTGTCGAAATTTCAATCGTCGAAATTCTAGACATACGATTTCTAGACGTCTATTTATGCGTTTATAACTTTTTAAACAGGTTTTGAGTTTCTAATTCTTAAAAAACTGACCTCCTCATCCGATCATGCTTGTTTTTCAGGTACAAATAACCAATAGCCAGGCCGGTGAGGCCGAAACTGAATATGTAGCAGACAGAATTCAGGGATAACCCCATTTTCTAGCAAAAATAAGAACCCTGTAAACAACAATAAAAGTCAACCAGCTGGGGAGGCCCTGGACTACAGACTACACACCCTTTTTGCTGGCCTCTTTGCCACGCCGTGGGGGGTACGGTGGATGGGGCGCGAAATTGGGGGTAAAACCGTTCAGGCTTTGCGAGGGGCATGTCAAAAGCTACCGTATACGCGATAAAAAAACACGCTTATATAAACCATTAAAAAGCGCATAAAACGGTGTGATGCTACCTCGAAGCCAAGCTACGCTGGGCTACGCTGGGCTACGCTGGGCTAAGCTGGGCTACGCTGGGCTACGTGACGCTTCGTGACGCTACGCTACGTTAGGTTTTGCTCCGGTATGTAGCGAAACTCTAGAAAGGTAGGAAACGCTAGGCTAGGATAGGCTAGGCTACGATACGTTACGCTATGGTGCTATCACAATTCGCGCATGCGTGGATTGCACATATTGGTCAAAATACGAAAAGGTCACTGCCGAGAGGACCCAGAAGACGCTTCCAAGCTTCGGCTTTCTTAGGCCGAACCTGGCCCGGCCGAAACCGCCGCCGGTTCAACGTTCTGCGGAGCTTCTCTTTGACGGATTCTGGGTAGGGACGAGGAGTAGTAATAGGATGAGGGGTGGTAGTAAGGGTAGCACGAAAGAAAGGAACATGTGCAGTAGCAACAGCATGAAAAACAGCAGGATGAGGGAGGAGCAGGACGAGGGAGGAGCAGCAGCAGGAAAGGGAGGAGCAGCATAAGCAACAGTAATAGTAGTAGGTGCAGTAGTAGTCATAGCGTTGACTTTGCGCCTTGGAACGTAGGAGTAGTACCACTAAACATCATCGTCAAGAGGGACACCGCTAGGCCCAATAGCCCTTTCAATACCTTGGTCGTGCCATCGTCGAAATTTTGCGGAAACGCGTAAATCAACGGCACCTCGTGAGTCGCAATTGAAAAATCGGCATTCGCAGCCACATGCTTCTTCCGTGCCATAAACTCCTCAAAGTCCATCTGCCAATAGAGGTGCTCCTCAGGATCAGGCAGAATTGGGCTAGAAGGTCCGTGAGGGGTTCCTGGATCATCAGAAACGTTTTTCAACGCTGCGAAAGGCTGAGTTGAAGCGCTCTAAACGGATCCGTATATCCATTTGGCAAGTTGAGAAACCAACGCGAGAGAAAAGCGAGAGTAAGAGAGAAACAGAGAGAGACAGAAAAAACGAGACATAGAAAGAGAGAGAGAGGGGGGTGGGAGAGAGTGGGAGAGAGATAGAGAGCGTGGGTGAGCGAGAGTGAGCGAGAGAGCGAGAGAGACAAGGACAGTGAGAGAGAGTGTGAGACAAAGGGGAGATACCTACCTTATTGCGAGGACCGGTCCTTTTTACAAGTTTTCTGATGCGCCGTTTTACGACTTTCCCGCCGCCCTCCTTCTAGAAAAATCAGTGCATTTCCTTTTTAATTTTTGAACCTAAAACCAAGTGGTCTCATCTATGAATTTCGCCCCTATGCTCTACCCGGCCCCTTTAAAATCAAACAATTTTATTCAATGAAATTAATTAATTAGTTAGCCGACGAATTTAAATAATTATTGTCTAATTCAACACTCACATGTTTTGACCGTTTGACCAGCCATTCCACGATCAAATCGCACAGCAAGCAGCCCTGCACCAGAGGGCATAACTCTTCGTTTTTTGGACCTTCAGGCGACTAAAAATTCGGTTGCTATTTTGGAATCAACATCCATCAAAATTTAAATCCTTGTTTTGGCGGTGCCTTTAAAGGGATAAAGTTGGCGCATTTTGTGGATGAAACCCGTTTTTGCATAGCGTAACCGGATGGGTTTTTGCCAACGGTGGAGGAGCGGAATCCGCAGGAACCCTCTTCATACCTTTTCGAGAGTTCTCATTAACGGCTAGAGAAATTGGCAAGTACCGGGCTAGAAGACCTCCGGAAAAGCCAAAAAATGAATTTCAAATGGTCTGATCCGGAGGGAATCAACAAAAATTCCTAATTTGCAAAATTTCCCAGATTGTCTCTGGGAAGGGAACTGTATAAATTAACGATTAGAGACAAAAAGAACAGAGGGCGCCTGAGTGAGCGGGAGATAGAGAGAGAGAGACGGTGAGAGAGCAAGAGTGAGAGAGAAAGAGTGAGAGAGAAAGAGAGTGAGCGAGTGAGAAAGCGTGAGACATTGTGATAGCTGAGTTTCGATTCTCTAGGATAATCAATTTATGCACAAAACCGTATCGCATAGCATCAATATATAAACATTTATGTTAGAAGTCCAAAATATATTCAGAACACTGAGGTTTTTGTAGATTACTGGAGAAAGGAACAGATCAAATCCTTGCTGAGCAAATGGAAATGAGTCGGGAGAGTGAGAAACAAAAAGAAACAGAGAGAAACTAGTAGGACCCGAACTGGCAAAAATAATACAAATAACGCTACGCTGCAAAAATCCGAATAAACCGCTACAAGCCGAAATCTCCCCCTTTTGTAATTTTTTTGCAGCGTTGCTATGAATCAAAACAAAGGTAAAACCAAAAATAACAACTAATCAATCTCTAGAAAGTTTAAAATTTAGCAAGAAAAATAGAAAATTAATTCAGCGTCGAAGTCGACGGGATCTCCTTCAGGAAATGGTCGAGTTCATGCTCACTTGCGGGAGTGGGATCGCTGAAAATAGGAGAATTATGTCTCCCTCTCTCCCCCTCTCTCTCCCTCTTGTTCCATCTTTCTCTCTCTCTCTCTCACTTACTTCCTTCCCGGCCACGTCAAATGCCTGGTATTCTTGAGCTCCTTCTCCTTCAGAATATACGTCAACGGGATGGCGATGGCGAGCATCAACACGAAGCCGACCAACGAGTAGCCGTACGTCGATATTCTAAAATTACGTTAGATCGCTAGAAAAAGAGAGCAAGAGCGAGAGAGAGAGCGAGAGAGATCGAGAGAGAGAGAGAGCGACGCAAACCTGCTGATCCACAGCGTATTCGGATCACCGTAATGCGCGTCAAAAGCCGGACTCTGCCGGATCGTGAACCCTCGCGGATCCGGAATCTGGCCGGTGCAGCCGGTGACACTAAAATTCACACTATATAAGCTAGCTTTTGCTGAAAAACCTGGTATTGGTGTGTAGGAACAGGTCCTTGTACGGGTCTTCCAAATAGTTTGACAAGCAGATGACGGCCATTGCTGAAAAATGCAGAATAAAATTAAGTCGGATTCGTAGCTCTTAAAGGGATTGTAAAACTTCGAATTCCCAGAGGTTTATGTCAGAGTGTTAGTATTAGGGGTTTTTTTGTTCGGATAACACGGTTAATCTTTTGGCAGAGATTAACAAAACTTACCCAAATTCGACAGCACAAACGAAATTCCACATGACAACACCCCGGATGCCGGGAAGAAGATGGCCAACACGAAGATGGCCACCATCGGCCCCGACATGGCGCCCATCACCGAGATGCACACCTGGAAATGTGGAATAGCTTGAGATTAAATTTTTTGACCGCGATTGCACAGAAATAACCAGTTCTTGCCTCCGGATTCGTTGGAAAAGGCGACATCGACCTACCCTCAAAATCCCGCCCAGCGGCTCGGCGGCAAAAGCAAGGATCGTGGAGAGCAGCCCGCAAAGCACGACGATCAGCTGAAAAAAAGAGACAGGTTATCTAGAGATGACAGACAGAGAGAAAGAGAGAGAGAGAGAGAGAGAGAGACGAGAGAGAGAGAGAGAGAGAGAGAGAGCGACGAGCTACCAAATTCGTACCTTGTTAATCTGCGTAGCCTGCGTATCTGTGATTTTCCCGTCCAACTTTTGCTTCAAAAAGTCCTCATAGATGGCGGCAGCCATCGAGTTCATACCCGACGACAACGTCGACAAGGTCGCCGACATTATACAGGAGACGTACAGGCCGAAAAGGCCGGGAGTTGGTTCTAAAATGATTTTTATAGATTCTGAGATGTCTAAAAACAACTTTTATATGAATGAATTGAAATAGTTTTATCGTAAATTGCAATTTTTAACTTTAATGAATTCAAGATCTGAGTTTTGTATTTTTGTATTCTTCTTTTTCGTAGCTTGTTAAAATACTGTAACTCACGTAACACGTCTCGCGCAAACAGGATGGTAATGTGATCAGTTTCGGCAATCTGCCCTGTCTCCAGCGGGTTGCACTCGTGGAAATAGGCCAGCACCAGCAGACCAACGAATGCGACGATTGAGCACAAGACGAAGAAGGGCAACAGCGTGTAGTAGATGATGCCCTTAACGACGGATATATTACCGTAACCGGGAACGATTAAGAACGTTTAGAACGGCAAATAAATATTTTTGTGAATTGATAATTTTGAAAAATTAAAATTATTTTGAATTTTCCGAAAATCTTCTAAAACATAGTAAGCAAATTATGGCATTACCTGAGCCGTTTTCAAATCGGGCAAGCTGACGTAGCGCTGGATGGCCAGCTGATTAACGCCAAAAGCCGCCAGCCAAGTGATCGTCCCGGAAATGAGGTTGATCCAGATCGAGTTGTACTGAAATTACAGTTATTTCTCTCTCTCTCTCTCACTCTTTTTTCTCTCTCTCGCGCTCTCCTTCACCTGTGCGATCCCGACATCCCATCGCCACATCTCCCCTAGTCTTCCGCTTTCCGAAGCGATCCTCAGCACCCGATCAAGCCCTCCAACCCGTGGGTGGTTCAAGCCCTTGTAGATGAGTGCGGATACGCCACCGTACATTAGACACGCCTAAAAATACGATATTTTCATTTTTTTGGGATCACGGTAGTTTCTGACATTTCTGAAAACCCTGACCAACCTGCAACGAGTCAGTCCAAACGACAGCTTTCAACCCTCCGATACAGGTGTACAGTGTCGTACAAGATCCGAAAATCTGAAATGCTCCGATTTGCGTAGCTACTGTAGCTGGATGGTACGGTGAGCTGGGTATACGATACACTACGGTAATGTGGCTCTAGGGTACGTTGCTAGGGTCAACAGTACCGGGAGGTACGGTGCGCTCCTCTAGTAGGCTACACTCAGCTACCGTAGCTATGCGCTAGCCACTCTGGGTATACGGGACGCTACCGTTAGCTAGTGTACGCTACGCTACTTTACGCGTGCGATAAGCATTGTGGACATACTGTAAACTACTTTTGGTATACGGTACGCTACCTTTCATGCATGTTTTGCTGCGGTACGATGCGCTATTTTAACCGTATACGGTGAAAGAAACATGGATTAGGTGTCTAAGATGTTACTGCTTTTGTACTCTACTTTAAGTGTACGGTATGATGATGTCGGGTAGGCTACTGTACTTACCAAAATCAAATGCCACTTGCTGACGCCGAAAACTGCCGACAACGCTACCGCCGGAGCGTAGATGACGACCGACATGTAGACGACGGTCATCAACAAGAATAGACCGGAGAATAACCGGCGGATAAGGACGGAACGGTACCTTAAACGGAACGCTTGCCGAGGTAACGAAGTTAATAAAAGGCTAAGACTTCTCAAAACTTAAACTTAAAGACACTTCTAAAAATGGTAATTATCGGATAGTACGTAATTTCCATTTAACGCAAATAGACATGAAAACGTACCTATGGATGAAGTACTCATGTAAGCATGTCGACTGCATTTTGTGGAAAATTGGCAAGAAAATGATGGCTGTGAAAATGGAGGAGGAGACGCCGATCGCAAAGTTGAGCCAAACTTGAGGCCCTGAAATTTAAAATTGTTTTTGATCAAATTATCTATGTTTTACGATGTAGATCTATCAAGGTTTGAAAAATCCAGCTTTAAAAAATTTAACCGATTCTTCATTAATTCAAAACATAACTGACCTCTTTGAAAAACCTCGGCCGGCACTCCCAGCATCAGAATTCCGGATAGAAACGTCGTTAAAAGTGATAAAGCCACGGGCAGGGCAGGCATTTTTCTGCCGCCTATCAAATATTCATCTTTAGCCGACGGGCCGCCACGGCCACGCACGATTAGACGACTTCTGGATGAATTAAGGTAAGTTGGGAACTTTAAAGGATTATGAATTCGATAATAAAATAAGATTTAGTTATTTTGATTTTTAGCCAGTAAAATGGTAATTTACTTTCCAAAATTTAATAAAGCTGGTTAATCAACTCACTTAATAGCATGATATACACCCGTTCCGACGGAAAGTGAAAGCGAGAAGGCGAATACAGCATAGTCAAGCCATGAGAGCTGACGATACCCGTCGTCGATATGGCCACTGGCGGCTACTGACGCCGACATGGTCCGGTAGAATTAGACCCTAAATCTTAAGGTCATAGACAGAGAGAGAGAGAGAGAGGGAGAGTGAGAGAGTGAGTGAGCAAGGGTGTGAGCTAGTGATATGGAGAGAGACCGAAAACATACAAAAAAGCTATTGGAAAATGCCAATGAGTTGAGACGAGGTGAGAACGAGAGGGAGAGAGAGAGAGAGAGAGAGAGAGAGAGAGAGAGAAAGAGAGAGAGAGAGGGAGCGAAAGAGAGAGCGAGAGAGAGTGATGAAGTCAAATAAATTGTTCAAAAAGTTGCAGCGCGACATTTCAATATCAAATGAAGAATTACAGCGTTTGACCCGGCCATTCTACGAAAGAGGAGAAGAGAGAGAAAAACGGAAAACGAGCCAGAGCTAGAGACAAATAGATGGAGAGCGAAAGAAAGAGCGAGGGAAAGAGAGCTAGATATAGAGAGCGAGATAGACAGAGATGAGCGAGAGAGAGAGACAGAGAAATCGTGAAAAATGTTGATTGATTAGCAATAGTATCTAACGATCCGGTATCAACCAACTGGTTGCCGCTTCTTTTGGGCCTGAGATCCGAGATCTCTCTCTCTCTCTCTCTCTCTCTCTCCCTCTCCTCGATTTCGCCCGATTTTTTGTGGGTGCTGTGGGACCCGGCGAAAGGACCGATTGATGGGTAATCACAGTGACAACTGCTGGCTGACCCGCCCAAATGCCCCGTCATCCGGCCGAAAGTTCAGTGTTTTAAAGGGACTCGGAAGGCAATTTAAAGCTATAGATAGATAGAGGGTGAGTGTGAGGGAGAAGAGCGAGACAGAGAGAAAAAGAGAGAGAGAGAGAGAGTGAGAGAGAGTGAGTGAAAGTGACAGATAAAATGGCGAAAAGTAGCATTTTTTTTGTTTTGGCAGCCACCCAACTGGCTAATTGGGCCGTAAATTGGAAAGCGGACCGGCTAATTCCCAGGCGTGTTCTCTGATGGATTACTTTTTTGAGTAATTCGGGTACACGAGTGGAAAAGCAGGATAAAATTGCACGAAAAATTATGCAAAAAAAACGGGAAATACTGCGAAACCTTGAATTTGCACAAGTCGAGAAATTAGAAAAACTGGAATAGTTGTATTTCTCAGTTTTGTCCTTAAATTTGGTTTTACATTTAAAAGGGGCTAATTTACGAATGTCAGCTCTAGAAATGTATTTTTAATTTTTTATTTGAAGTTGAATAAATTTAAAAAAAAAACTGGAAAAATACCAATATTTTGCCGGGGTACGATCATTACTTCTAAAATCATTACTTCTAAAAGTCATTACTTCCAAAATCATTACTTCTAAAAGTCATTACTTCTAAAAGTCATTACTTTTAAAAATCATTACTTCTAAAAACGTTACTTCTAAAATTTGGTATGCCCATCACCATTTTTTCGGCATATTTATGCCCAAAATTACGCTTAGAATTTTAGAAGTAACGACTTTAAGAAGTAATGATTTTAGCACAGCGCCCCGGCGCCGAATATAACGTCCGGTAGAATTGGAAACCAAGAAAGACCGCAACGCGTGCGATAGACGCGTCGCGTCATTGCGAAAGCAAGCCTGCGCAGCTAAAATCATGCTGCTATTTCGCGCCCCAAGCAAAAACCCGTACAGTACGCCTTTTCCCGGGAGCCATCGGGGCCGAACCCATGGGCGGTTGTGTTAGAAGTAATGATTTTAGAAGTAATGACTTTTAGAAGTAATGACTTTTAGAAGTAATGATTTTAGAAGTAATGACTTTTAGAAGTAATGATTTTAGAAGTAATGACTTTTAGAAGTAATGATTTTAGAAGTAATGATTTTAGAAGTAATGATTTTAGAAGTAATGATGGGTAGCCTATTTTGCCCTTTTAAGGCCCAAGGGCCCGGCAAAAATAAAAAAGAAGGATGCAAAAATGTCAGAGTCCAAGCAAAGCAGACTAGAGTTCCTACAAATCCTCCAAATCCTACACCAAAATTCGTACAATTTTTTTTGTTCCGTTTTCTGGTTTGTAGGGCCCGGAATATTAGGCGCGCGTCCCGGAAAGCATAGCAACAGTTTTTCGGGATGATGCTTTTGGGTCGGAAGGGGGAGAGAGTGCGCAAAGTGGAGAGAGACGAGAGATGGAGAGGGACAGAAAGGGAGAGAGAAAGAGAGTGAGTGCAAAGGGCTTCTCGTCGGCCAGGTGATCCCCCGGAACAGAGAGGCCAATGTGGAGAGAGCGAGAGAGAGAGAGAGAGAGAGAGAGAGAGAGAGAGAGAGAGTACGGAGACCTTCTGGTATGCAAATAGGGCCCCGGATCAAAACAACCAGTCAAGAGAAACCAGAGCGGCCAAAGGTTATTAAAGCGCACGTTCAGGGAGGGGCCGTATACTCGTCCCAACGTATACACCCTATGGACGTCGGGACCGCGCGCACTGCCTGCCCGTGCTGTGACAGGCCATTCCCCTCCTTTGCGGCGTGGGGCGCCCCTCGGCCCCTCGCGAGGTTGTAGCTGTGGCTGACTGGTATCCATCCGCGCCTCCCGAGCGGGGGGCCCGGGTTCGACCCCCGGCCGCGGCGGAAATCGTTGCTTTTTTCCAAAAAAACGTCCCTGAACGTGCCCTTTAATGGGTTGTTTTCAACTCTTTTTCTACTGTGAAAAACATGCAAATTACCGTCACAACACGTACATTAATAATTTTGGATGATTAAAGGTTTAGTAGTGGTTTTGGCTGTCGGGATTATAGCTTGAATTCTTATCTCGCTTTGAAAATCGCAAAATTCAAAAATATAAGTGGTTGATCGAGTAGATTTGCAGCTTTCAAAATTGTGTCAGAGCGAATTTCAAATGGGAAAACGCAGCTTTCCTTGATTATTCCATTCTTATCGCGTTTTTGAAAACGTTTATTTAGAAAACAAATATAATTTGGGATAAAAACTAACGTTTCTACGCCGAAAGAATAGGGAACAAAATATTGGTACCCGGTTGAATCCGATTTTGGGGTAGTGGCCTACTGAATTCGGAACTTGCTGTTTCCGGCCGAATGAGCCGAATACTACACGATTCCGAGAAAGCCTAAAACCCTAACCTTTTTTTTAATCTTTCTACTAAATAAATTCCGGCAGAAGCAAAGGCCAGAAACAAAAAAATTGTAAATGTATCCATGTCCCGGGAAAAAGGTGATTTTTGGCAAAATCTGAGTTTGTTTTATGTCGAATTTCTGACTTTAGGGGCCCTTTAAAAGCAGAACAACTATTTGTTTTGAGTAATTTTTAAACGATTTTTAAAAAAAATGTTCAAAAAATTAGTGGCTAAATCAATCCTAGAGATTAAAGAAGGTGGGGGCGAGTATACAAAAACACACCAGCACTTCCCATATATTTCGACTTCCAGCGGCCTTTAAACCAGAAAAATTGCCTAACAATGATCAAACCCAATGTTCAGAGATAGATGCATTGAGATAGCACACCGATCACACGATTTGGAGTACGTATGGGGGCGATAGAGAAAAGGGAGAGAGTGAGAGAAGGGCCCGGATCGCAGTGGACGGACCGGGTGATCGGGGTATATTGGATAGGAGACGGCTGTTCTCGCCCCATCGAAAGATCCGCTTCTCTCTCTCTCTCTCCATTTCTCTCTCTCTCCCCTCTCTCTCTCTCTCTCTCTCTCTCTCTCTCTCTGAGCACTAATCATCTCTAGTCAGGGCGGGGGAGCAACAGCTTGTCTCTTGCTCCTCTCATGGTTGTTTTGTCTGGTCTCACCCTCTCTCTCTCGCTCTCTCTCACACTCTCTCTCTCTCTCTGTCTCTCGCCCTCTCTCTTCTGCTGAAAACATTCCCCAAACCTAACTACATACGAAAAAGTGGTCCTCATAATTCATGAGCCGATCTTTACGTGGTCGGCGCACCGGGGACCACTACGTTTTAGCCAATTTGGCAAAAACTTTCGGCAGCGAAGGGATTTTAAAGTTGCTGAAAAACAGTGAAAAAATTAAAATCTGAATTTAACAATCTAATAAAACAAACTAGAAAATGTGCTTGTCTGCTCAGTTGCAACCTTGTTCCAAAAAATACCGTAGCCCACTACGGACGGCGAATAAGAAATGCCGTATACTCCTCAAGATAAGACGAACAAGACTATCCAAAAAATACCGAAGTATACAAAATAGTTTATAAAAAATACAGTGTGCTGGAAGCTACAAGCTACACAACGACGTCGATATATCATTTTTATTTTTTTTTGCAGTCGCCGTAGTACGAATTCATGGCGTTTGAAATTAAAAATTCCGAAATGCCACAATCTCGAAAAATTTTGCACCGGATTTTGCATATATTTTGCATTTTCTTGGAAAAATTCGCTTATGTAACTTTCGACAATGTGAAATTTGCAACATTCTGAAATTTCGGGGCATTATAATTTTCGATATTCTGAGGTTTCGACGTTATGATTTTTGTCATTATGAAAGCTAGACGATAGGAAATTTCGACATCGTGATTTTCGACATTTTTAAGGTCAGGGACGATAGTACGAGTGTGAAATATGAAATTTTGTGCTCATTTTGTGCTCCGTTTTTAACATTTTTTTACAAAAATTCCGACTTCTTTTCTACCGTATTTTCTGACCCAAACATGCCGCGTCACCTTTCCGAAACATGTCCACGTTTCCTCCCGGTACCTGCCAAAGAGTACAAAATTGGCAACGGCACGCCAGAGAGAAGGCCCACCGGAAATTACCAGATTACGAATAAGTCGCGTGGGGCAGATTGGGTGGAGAAAAACACACGCGGCAGCCCATAGAGAAAAATCGTCACTGATTCAGGGGCCGAAAACGGACAAAATTAGCCGGACCACCAACCGGAAATAAGGCCGAAAATCGGATATTAGAGGCCATTCGGGGCCCCACGTGTACGCCGTAGCCCTATTTAGGCGCTATTTTGCCGAGCTATGCAACCATTTTTGGCAGTCGGCCAATTGTTCGCTGGATTTTGGAAGAATCTTTTAAAAAAATGTTTTGCAAATT